TTTGCATGTCAAGAAATCAAATTATAAAGTACGTAATAGTAATCAAAAAACACAAATTCTTAAAGTATAATCATTCTAGTTTCTAAAAAATATCTATGTTAATATCAAATTATAAAAGTTAAGGCGACAAAACACAGCACAACCTACCTCTCTAAATGCGAAGTTCAAAAAGCGTGGCACAGAATTTTAGCACATTTATCGCTTCCGTAAAACGCGGATATCGGCGTACCTACTTATGGTTATTTTTTTGTTTAGCCTAATATTTTCTATTTCACTTAAAAATAGTTAGTAGTATATTGAAAATTACGTTTTGTGCAAAATGGCAGAATCCTCAAACATAATATGTGCATGCTGCTTGGAGATATTTGGTAAAAGATCTGAAAAAGTGTTAAAAACTACTCCAGGGATTGAAAGACATTCAAAAACTTTTATGGAAAGAATATGATGTGGAAAAAGAATGTTGTCCCAAGTATATATGTTCATCATGTGTAACAATCCTTTATGCTTTACACAGAGAAGAAACACAAAAAATTGGATTGTGGATAGCTAAAATATCACAGGTATTTACTTTATTTATTATAGGCGTTAAATATATAGATTAACTATTATCATTGCATTTAGTTTACATTAAATGCCATCATTTTATTACAAAATAGCAAAAATTTATCACATAAAAAGTTGTTGTGTTTTTGTTAAGATTGATCAACAAAAGTTAAAAAGAGTATCAAATATTAAACAAAAGGCAGTAGAACTTGTTCCAGTCAATGATGGAAGCACAGAAAATCGTATCAAACTGCATAAAATATGTTCTCTGTGTTTTTCAGTTGCTGCCCAGCCAGCATTGTGGTACGGGTACCATGCGGGACCCGTATGGGTCATCAACTGGGCCCCATATGGGTAGCCCTCCGGGGTCCCGCTGGTTTTTGGCCGCGGTTTCCATCCGGGGCCCATATTGGTTTGCCCGCCGGGAAACCCGTGTGGGTCCCATTAAGATCCCGCATTTTTAAACCATAAGGGTCCCGTATAGATTTACAACTGGGACCCATATGGGAAAGCCCTCCGGGATCTCGCCGGATTTTGGCTGCGGTTTCTATACGGGGCCCATATGGGTTTAATAAATATAAGAGAATTCATATTATATGCTTATTTATTTCAAACAAAAAGCACATTAAAATTACATTTTTATTCTTTAATCGTGAATCGTATCGTAATCATTAATTAAAATCTTTGTGAAAACCACTTCTTTAAGCACTTTTTTCTTCATACAATATCTTTTTCAATAAGACCTGTGAAAAAATAAAAATTAAACTGCTTTCAGTTGAATTTTACAAGCAACCCATCGTTTATATTTTAAATCAACATCTTCTTTTAAATTGCATATTTTAAAATTTTTTTCAGATTTAAAAAAAAAAGTATTTTCTCACAATATTAAAATTGTGTTTAATAATTAAAGGGAGTATACTCACTAACCATTAAGTCAAAAAATTCTATACAAGAGTCATTCATTAATTCTAATAAACAAGACTACTTATCATTATTATTACTATTATATTTACTAACCTGCCATTAAAGGAGTTTATTTAATTGGAGTCATTAACTAAAACTGGAGACGTTCTGTAGTCAACTCACACCACTAGACAAATATTGCCAACAGCCAATGTGAACCTATTGCAAATAATCAGAAATATTCTTAAATAAAAAATGCAAAATACCTTAATAACATAAGAAAATGATAACTGACATTTTCTAAAGAAAATTAAAAAAATGACACAAAATAAAAATGGAGTTAAACTTGTTATACTAATTATTATAACTTAATTAAAATAAATTAGGATAAATTAGGATGTATAACTAACATAAATAAATAATATAAATATAATAACTAATGTAAATAAATAAAAAGCGCAGATATGTAATAAATTGAGATTTCTTAGACTTTTTCTTTAGTTACTTATAAATAAATTAGCATAGCGTATATATATATATATATATTTTTAAATTTATTTGTTTACATATATAATTAGATATACAACATATGTTAAAAAAAAGATTAAAAAATAATCACTTGACTTTCTAGAAAATTTTATTATAATATAAATGCATAATATAATATAAAGAGGTTATAAGTTTTAGAAAATAAAAAGTATTTATAATTCACAAATGTAGTTGACGCATAACAATAAAGCCACTTTTGTATGGTATTTGTAAATACTTAATATTGATGTCTGATAGTGGGTAAATTTTATTAATACCAGTCATTTTGCTTGCATAAAATATCGACAAATTATTGGAAGAAAGTGGATCTGTGAAAAATGATTCAAGAGCTGCAAATTCTTCAAACATAACCAATCCATCACAAGATTCGCCTGTTTTTATTTGTATAATATTTCTAACTAAACCAATTTTTTTTGCAACTTCAAAGCAGTTATTTCCATCAGTAGCAGAAACAAAACACTTAAAACCTTGGTAATTTTTAAACTGCAAACAATGTCTCAATGCAATGGTTATTGGTCCATCAACATGCTGGATGATAAATTTCAGCTGATGAATATGATGTCTATCTTCCTTCAAACAGCCCTCGAAAATTCTCCTAACAATTTGTGAACATGGTTGTTGTGGCCTATGAACAAGCTTTTTTAATTGACCCAGATAATTTTCATATTTGAATGAGGAGCACTTATCCAAAACTCCAAAGTTAACTGCATCATCTGCTAGATGTATCAAAGAATGGACATTATAAACTAACTGATCTTTACCATAAAGTTTACCAAACGACTGCACAAAATAAGTAAGTAACTGACGAGCTAAACCAATATAGTTTTTCAACAAAATAGGACATAATAAAATACGAATTGCAACTGAAAGATCTAAAAAGTTTGAATAAAATTTTGGCTCAAGTAATCCCTTTAAAACAACTGGTCCAGTACATATTAGAAAAAGTCTAAGTTCAGTGGCTTTCCAATGCCGAAAATCTGATAAAGACCTTGGTTTCCTAGAAAATTCCTTTGGAATATAACAACGTATCTGGAAAAATCTATCAGATAAAATATTTACAGTATTTTGCGACAACTTACATGATCTGGGACCATTTAACCATAAGTTGATGATTCTTCGCACAACCCCTAGACATACTAGGTGCATGTAATCTAAAGGAAATTTTGATACCATGTCAAAACCCAACTCAATTAAAGGAGACACACCAATATGATGTTCCAAACTATTTTGATAACGAAAATCTGAATCAGTCCTTAAAGTTGCTGATGTATGCGGAAGGATTATTTTGCCAAACCACTCTCCTTTTTGAACACAACGCTCACAACAATTATAACCATTGTGACCCTTTATACATTTCACAAATGCTCTTGCTGGTGCATCACATATAATTGCAGCAAGCTTTACATCATACTTTACATTTTCATGGGTAAAACCATTTTCAGTAAGAGCTTTAATCTCAACCAAAAAATCTTCTAGATATTCATGAATAGAATTTGGTTTTTTGTCACCACAATAAATTGCTATTGGAAATACTATTGCTCCAGCTTCAATAAGAGTACCTAAAATTGGCCAAAGAGAAGTACTGGAACTGGTGAATATAGGTATACCATCAATGTTAATGTGAATGGTAAGTTGGTTGTTGTTTGATTCTATTGAATTGTTTTTAAACATTATTAAAAGCCAATACTGCATGCTGAAATAGTAATACTCTCCGCCCGCGACAATTTTTGTATCTATATTTTGGGGGGTGTGAAGAAGTGTTCTTGAATCTTTAGGCAAACTTAACCCATATTCTCTTAATAAAGGTAACAAACTGTTCAAAGCAGCATGTGTTATATTGAAGCTTAATGCCCAATTAGCAAGTTTATGAGGCAATTTTTCGCTGTCATTACTTTCATCACTCTTATAATCATCAGAAATAAATGACTCAGGAGACCATTCATTACTATCATCTGTAATTATTCAATAGTGTTTTTGTTATTTTCTATTTCGCTAATTTCAGTCTCCATAACAGCTAAACTATTATCAGAATAATTAGAATTAGTTAAAAAATTCGTTAGGTTCCAAATTACTGTCAACTTGTTCTCTTATTCCATGTAAATATGAAGAATCAAAAAACATATTGCTACTATATAGATAAACATCCTGATTCTGTATATTTAAAGTTGAAGATTCTTGAAAAAGTTTTGATACCACTTCAGCTATTTTTCTACGTTTAGATCTTTCAGAAGTCATTCTAGTAAATTAAAATAAACTATAAACAAACTTCTAACAAATATCAACTATAACTTATTATAACAAATTTAACAGCAATATATATATATATATATATATATATATATATATATATATACATATATATATATATATATATATATATATATATATATATATATATATATATATATATATATATATATATATAGTATACATATATATATATATAAGTATATATATATAATTGAGTGAGTCCCTAATATCATTGAAAAAAAAATTTCAACCTGGAACTTATAAATAAGCAAAATTAAATAAAAATTTCAAAAAAATAATTTCTTATTTGAAAAAATATTTAAAGAATTATTATCAAAAAACTTTTTATAACTTTTTTGAAAACCATAGGTTTTATATGTATGTATATATGATAAAAAAAATTCAGAAACTTAAAAACAACACTGAAAAAAGAAACTCTTTTTTTATACAATAACTAAAATATTTAATAAAAAAACTACTATAAAATATAACATATTCGTTTAAGATTTTATTACCAAATCATTTGAAAGAGCCTCCTCAAGCTGTTTTTTTGTACACTCTTTTGTAGATGTATTCATTTTTATGGAAGCTGTTGTAAAAAAATATTTTCAAATTTTTATTTGAATTAAAATAAAATATGTAAATTCAAATGTAAAATAAAATATGTTAATTCAAAAATACTAAATTCTAGCATACTATAAAGAATGTTGTACAAAATGGTTTTAATAAATCCACGCTTATTTTTTTGGCCGGTCAAATTTAGCTGTCTGGCCAATACATTTCCAATAAGATAAGTCATATTTCGATTAACAAATTCTGAAATATCTTGCCCACCATTTTCAAAAAGAATATGAACCTATAATAAGATTGAATATTGCAAAATTAAACTAAATGAAAATTTATTATTACTAAATAATAAAGTACATAATTTTGATAAAGTATATGAAAATTTATACAAAATAGGTCTGAGTAAACAATTACCAAAATCCTTTGAGTAGTAACATTAGCTAATATTTCAAGAGCCTTATCCAGTTCTTCCATTGTTGTTACAGGAAATGTTAAACCTTCTGGTAGCTCCACTGATGCTATGTCTCTTTCTATGTTAAACCGTTGCAATAAATTCTGAATCATCATAGAGTGAAATTTTTGTGTTTCTTTAATTTGTTCTAACCCTCTCAAAATAGTTTTGCATACTCCTATAAATGCTTACTGCTAAAGAATCTAATTGCTAATCAACATTAAATCATAACATATAAACACCTTTTTTTTTAGGGTCTTCTATTTCTATAACATATATAAGTATAATATTACCACTGCGAACAATGGATACGTACCTGAATTTTCTGCTGCAGCAAAAGGTACTATTGTTGAAGAATTAGGCATTCTTTGATAAGTTTCAGACAAATTGAATGAAAAATCTGCAATATATGTATGAATGGTATATATATATATATATATATATATATATATATATATATATATATATATATATATATATTTTTTTTTTTTTTTTTTTTATATATATATATATGTGTGTGTGTGTGTGTGTGTGTGTACCCATTAATTATTGTCTCTATAAAGATATATTTAATAAATATAATACACATTGACTAACTTATAAAATATTAAATATAATAATAAAAAAAAATAATAAAAATAAAATTTAAAAAATACCATTTTATAGCAAAATATTTAATTTAAATATTACAAATAAAAATAGAATGGAAATAAAAATATTAAAAAATAAATTAAAAAATGATCATATTTAAATTTAAATGTTACAAGACTGAAATTTAAAATTATACAATTATAACGACATTGCGCACTTAGCATAGCTTAGTGCATTGCTCATAAGATATAATATATATATATATATATATATATATATATATATATATATATATATATATATATATATATATATATATATATATATATATATATATGTATACCTGTTAAAGATGAATTTTTATTGAAATCAACATCATCTGAAGTGTTAGACCATCGAGGAACTATAAAAAACAGTTAAAAATGTTGCTATTCCTAAGATACTACCTTACTACTGCAACAAGAAAATAAGAACTGAAATATATACTTAAAGGAACATCTGGCTTGATAAAAGCTTGTTCTGGGGATTTATTAAGGTCTTTAAAACTTTTATTGAACTTCATATGTCTAAAAATGTTAAATTTATTAATGATATACAAAAGATTATAATTATCGCTCTAAAGCATTATTATGTAGACTAGATAGACTTAGAATCTGTTAAAAGTTTTGTTTTTTTAGTAAAAAATTTAATTTTTTAACCCTTTTGTTGACTCTGTTTTCTTTTTCTTTATTGATTTACTAAGTTCTTCTTTAAAAAAAATAGATTCAATTTCCTTTTCTAAAAAGCAAAAATGCTTACGCTTTTATGCTACACATATTTTATTTAAAACAAGTCCTGTATATCTATATATAAACAAACTTTATTTTAAGTAATATTTTACTAACTTTTTTCAAATAACTTTACTTGAGAATCTTCTTCACAAGACTGGCTAATTATGGAATACAAGCATTATTATTTTTAATTATATTAAGATTATTTTATTATAATCATATAAGGTTACAAAAGAATGTAAATATCTTCCATCTATCGAAATGAAATTGTTGAACTTTATAGACCTTTTTCGATTTTTTAGATATAGTTCATCAACATTTGATGTATCTTCCGCATATTTACATTTTTCTTTTGCTTCAGATTCTGTGTCTAAATTTTTTAAACAACAATGAAGTCATTGCTATATAAATTTTTGTCAAATTCAAATTTTATTATTTTACTTATTAAAATATACATTATAAACTTGCTTTCTGTAAAATAATTAAAATTTATTAAAACACATAAAATTTAAATAAATAATTTAAATTTTTTTTTCTTTTCATAAAACTTATAAAAAACAAAAAAATAGTTAATTTACTATCATTTAAATAACATATAAACTAACCAGCAGTGGACAAAATTCTTCCAGAAAATCGCAGCCAACCAACTTCTGGTTCTTGACAGATTGATTTTGCTGCGTCAATTTTTTTCATATTTGTCCAGCGTGGCCAATAAAAATCTGTTGATTTCCTTGAAGATATTATAGACAGAACATTTTCGCTCATCGCATTAACAAGCCAAATTAGAGGTAGATAGTCAGTGTTATTTTCCTCATCAAAGGCAACAATTGCATACATCATTTTACTGTAAGTTAAAATGCAAATGTATACACTTGCTTTTAAATTAAAATATACAATATATATATATATATATATATATATATATATATATATATATATATATATATATATATATATATATATATATATATATATATATATAATATATATATATATATATATATATATATATTGATATATATATTATATATATATATATAATATATATATCATAAATAAAATACTCTTAAAAATATTTTATATATAATTTAACACACACGCACATATACAATGTAATACATAATATGTATATATATATAAATTTTTATATATATATATATATATATATATATATATATATATATATTATATATTACATATATAATATGTTTTATTTAAAAAATTAATAATATATTTATTTTTATAAAAAAATTATATATTTATAATTAAATGAATTATAATTTTTTAAATTAAAATATATATATATATATATATATATATATATATATATATATATATATATATATATATATATATATATATATATATATACATATATACAACATTATAAATACATTCACGTATACATACAAATGTAAACATACTTTGTTTGACGAGTAGCTGTGCGAAAAGTTATCTTTTAATTTGCATTGAAAAAAAATATATTTATACGGGTTGTAATTTTGTAATGTAGCCAAGAATTTATGCCACAAGTTCCTTGTTTACTTCTTTGTCAAGGAAGTAAAACAGTAAAAATGAAGATGTCAACATTATAATATTGTGACATGAAAATTATTCGTGAAACAAATTTTTGTAAAGGTGAACGATATTTAATTCAATTCTTTAAAATAACTAACTTTATGCATAGTAAAATTTAGTTCGTTTTTTAAAGAAATAAAAACTTCTTTTATATAAACTTAAACGCTAACATAATCCAGTTTTAATGTAGAAACAAAATCCAACGAAAAACCGATTTCTCTTTAATTATAATGTAAAAATAATGTATACAAGTTCCATTTTATGAACTTCTTTGAAACTCAATTAATTTTGTTATTGTAAATGGCGAAATTTAAGATTCGGTTTTATAAAATATCTTCTTGTAACAGAACCAATTGGGCCCCAAATGGGAAACCCATCACATTCCCATATTCCGTAACCCAGATATGATTTCTACGAGAGTTTTAGCGTGATTTTTTAGCCATACGGGACCCATCAGGAAACCAGTACTCGCGCCCATTTAGATCCCGTATCCCGTAAACCCGGATATAAACCGTACGGGGCCCGTTTGCTATTGCTGGCTGGGTATATATATATATATATATATATATATATATATATATATATATATATATATATATATATATATATATATATATATATATATATATATATATATATATATATATAAATATATATATATATATATATATATATATATATATATATATATATATATATATATAAATATATATATATATATATATATATATATATATATATATATATATATATATATATATATATAATACATATATATATATATATATATATATATATATATATATATATATATATATATATATATATATATATATATATATATATATATATATATATATATATATATATATATATATATATATATATATATATATATATATATATATATATATATATATATATATATATATATATATATCTTATTCTGCTGATTTAAGTCAGCACTTGCTCACTTTTTGTGCTAATCTAAATCGATATGGGTTTTTTCAAAAAAGAAGAAAACTAAGAATAATGAATGAAAAGAGCCTATGTAGTAGCACTTCACTGCGAGTCAGGCTATTTGTCAGCCAATCTATATACTGAAGGCATCAGGCTATTTCAGTATGACGTCACACTGCTTACCTAAATCAGCAATGTAAGATATATGCATTTGAATTAGCTAGGCCTGTATAAACTGAAAATCAGAATCTCTCTCTATATATATAAAGATACTATTTGTTTTCCTAGATTATATATTGTATTGTTTTTTTTTCATATTGTTGTTTCTGAGTTTTTGTTTCTTACTTTTATTAATACACTACTAAAACTAAATATAGACTTCATTTTTTCTTGTTCTTTATAATAAATTTAAACAATTTAGCAGTAAATACATGTCATACAGTAAATACAATATAAACTTCTTAATAATAACAATAGCTATTAATATTAATAGCTTTTGAGTCAATAATTTGTTGCTACTTTAATACTTTTATGAATTAAAACAAATAATTAGTAAAAAGATTAATGATTAATTAAGAATTTAATGCTTAATTTAATACATTTAATATCTGTTATAATGTTTATAAATCAATGTTGTTAGCAATTATCAGTTATTGGCAAAAAATGCAAATAAATCTATTTTTTAAAACAGTTTTTTGAATTAGTCCACAACAATCCCAATTAAATCGGAGACCACAAACGTCACATTTAATGCTGTTATCTTCTTTTTTTTAAATTCATTTTCATTTAAGCATGGCTTATCGCACAATGGGTATGTATACAGTTGCATAAGTCCAAGTAGGTAACGTTGCACATAGGTTTTAAAAAACAGAATTAGGCGTTGAAGCACTCTTTGCCAATGTTCTTCATCAAACGTAATTTTATTTACTAAGACACTTTTCTTCGTATACACTACAAAATACGTGGATTTACAACCAGTGATTGCCAATCGGCCGATTATTTGGGTGTAATACTTGTGGTTTCTTTTAAGCACTGCTTTGTCGTCAACCATTTCCGAAAAATCCGTTTTTTTCCATAAAACTCTTATATCTTCCTCCCGAATACTAAAAGGACATTTGTTTTCAACACAAGATTTTAGGCAACAACAGCATTGAAAAATGTTGTCCGGAGAAGCACCAAAATACGGGTGCGGTTTGAACACAAATAAACCACACGTTATTAGCATAGGATTTTAATGTTTTACGCCCTCAGTTGACATAAATATTTTAGCAGCATTTTTCTTGTTTTCTTTACCCTAACTTAGAGGTGCAACATTCTTTAATTCAACTGAGTCGACAATAGCCTTAAGAAGTGGCGTAATTTTGCATTTAACGTCTTTATCATGGTTTCTTAGAAGAGATGTAACCTTTTGGTTAAGGGAATAGAAACATGATGATGTTATTCTTTCTCTGCGTTATTCCCACCGTTGGTTTGAGTGTGAATGATTTCCTGTAGCTTTTTCTAACTCTTGAAGTTAATTGTCGTTAAATGTCAGCATACCAAGTAGTCTATCAGTCACGCAGCTTAGCTCCGTAGGAAAACAACTTCGTGCTGCAAAAGCAATTTCTGTTATTGGATGTGGCACATTATTATCTGGCGGAGGGGTAAACATTGTATTTAGTGCGGCGTTAGGAAAAACGTTTTTGATATTTAGTAAAAATTATTTTTTTTCAACTTCTGTAATTTCAGCATTTCTTCTGGTCGTGGATCGAAATCATTTTTTTCTTTGTAAGTGAAAAGATTTTTCTGCATTTACCACTTTTATGTTTAACGATGTTCATATCTTTTACCATACTTGGTTGAATTTTTTTGAACGAAGCGATCCAGCTGCAAATATTATCAGTACAAATGGTTTGTTATGTCTTTAGTGTTTGCATATTCTATTTTATAAAGTACCGCAGCAACATGATTGCAACAATTACTTTGTCCTGCGGTACACGTGCAAAACGTTGTTCAAATGGTGCCATCCACATTAAACAAAATCAAAAGATGATAGGATTTTTCTCGTAAATGTTGAGAAGAAGAGACCGATGAACGTATCATAATATAATCGTAAATTTTTTTGCTAAACAACTTGCCAACAAAACCACTTCCAAAGTATGAATACGTTTTTTTAAGTTTGTATTGACCAATGTATTCAGTTTTAAATGCTTTGCTTTCATTTGTAAATTTGAAACAGGCCATTGTAGCATATCGTCTATAAAATCATTTGCTTTCAACGGATCGAAATCTATTTGAAAGGTTTCAGTAGATTTGCGTAGTCACTATTTAATTTATTGCAAACAATTTCAGTAATTGATACAACTTTAACTTTTTTCTCATATGCCATTAAAGCTGTTCCAGCTAGGAAGCTATGATTTCTGAAAACTGTAAAACCACGCTCTTTTTGATAAAACTGCAGCTCTCCTTTTGACATTTCCAAACAATTTTCTAGAGTTTCTACTTTTATTTCATTTTCAGTTAGCGTAACCATTTCCATTTTTTATTTGAGCGCGTTGAAATTTTTTTAATTTATTTTGATTCGTTTTGTTTAATAGAGACTTTTATAACAATGCAATGGGCTCGAAATTGAGCTCTTTACTTTTGGATGCAAAAATATTATTTCGATTTTCCTTAAAAATTCTTTTAACAAAGCTAAAGCTAATATAGTCTCCTTTACTTTTTAGTTAGAAAAAAAAAAAAAAAAGTGTCATAACACTTTTTCTCTTATTTTTTTTTGCTGTTATTAACAGCTTAAAATTAAGTTATTTTTTTTTTTACGGCTATCCATTTTATTTTACAGTAAACTTGATTTATGCCAATATAAAATGTTTTTTGATTCTGACAAATAATTTAAGAGTCATCGTTATAAGAAAGAATAACATAATGAGTTTAGGAGTAAGGCATTTTGGACCTTAGGCAGAGTTATTTTGAGGGCCTAATTTATGCATATGTTTTTCTTGAATTCACCCTTACAAAATCTGAAAACACAGGCCTCTATTTTAGGCGGGTTTAAGGCAACTGCCTAGTTTGCCTTATGGATAATCTGACATTGAAAATGTTTGCATTCATTGCATCAGTAATTTAAATCTCTTTAAAAATATATTCACATTTGCCCCAATAACTAACGGATGCTGGGACTCATCGATATTTACAGACGGATTTTCTAAAAATATTGATTAAAAGACAAAATTGCTAAACATTAGATTTTAGAAACATTTTTTTTTTTTACATTTACTTTTTTTTTTATAAAAGTATTCGTACTCAAAAGATTAGGAAAGTAAATTTTGGCCTCATCTATAGCAAAAATATTTAAAACTTTATTATAAAGAACAACACAAAACTAGACTGTTGTTTAAGGAGTGTATTTAAAGAAATCAAAATAACTTTTCTGCATAACACCATACACACTAATAATGCTTATAATTTTTTTTTTACTATTTTATTACTGTTCTTTAAAACATTGATCAGCCTTTTAAAATAATACACTTACTTGTATGCAGTAAAGTATGCAGGTTTTTTAATGTTTGAAATAAACAACTTATAAACACAAAGATATTCAAAAATTGGCTATGTTCACATGTAAGACGCATATAGATTCTTAACAAAAGAATTACAATTGAAGGAGACTGGGAATAACAAAATCCTAAAATCTTAGCCCTCCCTCCTACCCCAATCATAGAACAAGAGTTAAGTTATTCATTTTTTTATAATTATAAACAAGTAATGTATTTCAAATTTCATGCACTAGATTTTAAATTTCAGGATCAAATCAATTAGTGTTCGGTTTTTATGATCATGTAAATATTATGATAAACCCCCTTCAATTTAATGAGGCTAAAATTGGAACACTAAATAGATGAATATAACTAATCTATAATTATAAAAAAATGAGTAATTCAACTCAAAATACAAAAAGGTCAACAAATCATTAATTCATCAAAAAATTTCAAATTTCATGCAAAAACCTCTTAGTGTTTAGTTTTTTTGACCTTACAAAGTTTACAGCGCCCTCAAAGTAAGGGAGGTTAAAACTTTATATAGTCGTAATTTTCGAAAAATAAAAGATTATTGCATGAAATTTGAAATTTGTTGATGAATACGTTGGGCTAATGTAAGCTTGCTGTCTGGGACACTACATAATATAAAATTTATCAAAGTAGGATATAAATTTCACGATTGATCACATTTTCTTATAAGGCAAAGCTGCAACTCTTTCTCGCCATTACCTCGGTTGCAATGGCTGTCAAGGGTTCCGTGTCAAACACGCACCAAGGAACACTACTACTATTAAAACTATTAATTTCGGCAATAATATATAGAGATAACAATAATAGTTATAAAAATAATAAAAATAAAAATGATAATAAGTTACATGTTTTTATAAACACAAATAACTATATATAAAATATTAGACAGTTACAAACAGTTGAAAAACTGTTAAAACGCAACAATTAACAGTAACATAAAACAATTATTTAAATAGGAAACAAGAAAAAAAGTAATAATAATAAAATTTAAAATAATAGTTTCAATGATAATTATACTTATAATTAAAATAACAATAACA